AAAAAAAAAAAAAAAAGGAATCACTTTATAAAAACATCTGCAAATCTTTCAACTGTAAATTCACCATAAGCTGATTTAGGTATATATCTACGACAATTTAAAGTGGAAATAAAACTTTTTAGCAACTCTTCATCTCTAATATGTTGAGTCAAAATAAATCTCAATCCTGCAGTTTCCCCTAACTTAGATAGTGGATATTTTTTTAATGCTACAAAGAAACATCCTTCAGCATCATTGAACCCAGCTAACCATTGTATACTTTTTTTATTTTTCTATCGTTAATATCTGGTCTTAAAATAGTCTCTATATTAGAAGCTAGATTAAACCTGTCTGACATTCCTTTATTGTTCATAAGATCTTTAATTGACATAATTTTATTTAAACCTTCTACAGTTAAATGTCTTCCTTTTTCCATATCATTTACTACTTGTTTAAAAAGCAGGTATTCTGTTTATTAGTTAATAGATGATATTTATCAAAATGATTCATAATAACTTTTAAGTTTTCAAAACCATATACTCTAAATTTAACAGATTCTGCATCTAGTTTAGATATTGTGTCTACACCAAAAAAAGATTTGAATTTGTTCTAATAAGGTAATATCCCTTATATGTACACCAATATAAGGGATGCAGCTTTTACTCTATAGGCGTTTTTATATCTAGGGTTATAACTAATACCTATATAAAAAACAACCTTTCTCGTCATTAAACCCAGTAAGATAATAAAGATTTAAATCATTAGTGTAAGTATACTAAAAATTAGAAGACATTGCTTTACTAGCAAATGAGTATATTTTGGAATTAAAATAATAAATTTTCGTATAGAATCTTAGTATAGATTCAAAAAGAGTATAAACCTCTTTTATTAATTGCATAAAAACCAAATTTCTCTGGCACTTAGAATACACCTTACAGTATTAAAAAACAAATACTGAGGAACCGTCTACTCGTTGCTCTTTTACAGATATAATACTATCTATTTTAGATCCGCGATTACCCATTCCTTGATTTGTATCAAGAATCTCTAATGATGTTACTGTACCCCCAGTTGTTAACGGGGCCACTTTATAAGTTTCCTTATGAAGTTTAGTTATTAGAGTTTTAGGGCTTCCCCGGAGTTTGGCTCCTATCCACATAATGCTTAGACTATGGAAAAATGCTCAAAATATAGCTAAGAAAAATAAAGCTTCAGATACTATAAATAAAGCAACACCAAGGTTTAACCCTCTTTGTACTGCTAAGGTGTGATGACCTATATATGTCGTTGAATTTAAACTTTGATGCATCAGCATTCTAAAATACTGGTGGTGGGGGGGGCTAAAAAAAAA